AACCATAAATACTTGCAGAATTTGGCTCCTAAAACCACACATCGCTAAAAGAAACCAGGCATCTTTGGAGAAACAGCCGGTTTCAGGACTAGGGAGGGAAAGTGCAAGGCAGGCCTGGGCTGCTTGTGCCAGGCAGTAAGAAGCACTGCCAGCACGGTGGGGATGTGCCGGCCAAGCAGGGAAGCCAGTCTAAAGGGCTGTCATGGACTTGTCTGGGATAATGTGAGCGCTCAGGCAAACCGTAACAGCAGTAGATGGTGACCTCGGGAATCACGAGTCTACACTGATGTGAACAAATGAATGCAAAGATTCCTGGATGATGGGATGTTTACCTTCTCCCGCGGCAACTCCCTTTGGGCTATTTATTAATTTCACAAAGGTAGACAACAGCTTTCTCATGGAGCAGTGAGGGTGATAATGCATTATTCAAGTGAGCAAAGGTAAGATCTTCAATAATGGGAGCAGCTGAAACCAGGCGGGGTGCAAGGAGGGCGCAGCACTGCTCCTGCACTATCTGAGCGTCAAGGTCAGCTGGGGGTGGTGGCTCACTCTGGTAATCCCAGCACTCCTGGGAGGCCGAGGCAGCAGAATCACAAGTTCAAGCCTAGCTTGGGCATCTTAGTGACTTTAGCGAGACGTGTCCCAAAAGAAAAAGGAAGGGCTAGAAATGTAGCTTGGTGTGAAGGCCCGGGGTTTACTGCCCAGTGCCAGAAACAAACAAACAACAACATAGCAATAAAATGTGTCAAGGTCATTGGAGTCTACAAAATCCTGAGGAATGTCCCAGACTTGAAGGATGCTCAAGAGATGGGATAACTGCTTGCAACCTGTGATCTTGAACTGGGTCCCTATCCTACAAAGAATACTATTGGTGCAAATAGCAAATCTTGGGTAAGATGTGAGGAGAACGCTGTAGGAAGGCATCAGTGCGCATTTCCTGCACTGGTGGAAGAGCTAATTCTATAGGACGATTTGTTTGAAGGAAATACACATTACTGTACTCAGGAGGATGAGGTTGTGTGTCAGGAACTTATGCTCAAATGGCTCCAGATTAAAAGAGTTATTTCTGTCGGGTGTGGTGGCACACGCCTGTACTCCCAGCACTTGGGAGGCTGAGGCAGGAGGATTGTTGTGAGTTTGAGGCCAGCCTGGGCTACAAAGTGAGGTCAAGGCCAGCCTGAACTGCATAGTGAGACTGTCTCTAAAAGACAAATAAATAAATAAATAAGTAAAAATAAAGTTATTCCTATGACACTTGTAATTCTTCTGTAAGCTTGAGATTGTGTCAAAAGAAAAAGCAATATAATATAAATATTTTATGTGGCTTATACAGTATTAAGATTTTTTTTTTTTTTAGTTTCCATCATTTAAAAATAGAGACTTTTTAAAAAAAAATCTACAAATCTAAGTTTCAGACTTTTCTTGAGGAATGTGAAAAGGTAACAACCCAGGGCAATGGGTTGGCAGGATGAACCGCCCGAGAGCAACAGCCCGATAGCATCTTTCAGATGAGTGGTATGGCCCTCACTTCTTCAAAGTCTCCCCGCTCCTTAGCATGTCGTACTCAACCCACAGGATCTATTTATGCTACTAGCCTGGCACCTGGTACCAGCCCATGCCTGTCATCGCTGTGGGAAGATGAGAATCCACTCCAGAGCAGGCACTTCAAACAGGGCTGGGTAGATGAATGGGTAGGTGGATGAATGGATGAATGAATTTTCAAAACACACCACTAACCCAGACCAAGGCTTTATCTCAGCACATGAAGCCAAGGGAATCGAACTCAGGACCTCACGCTTGGCAGGCAGGCGCTGCGCCACTGAGCTAAATCCCCAGCCCAAGCCCATGTTTGTTTTGGTACTGGGAATTGAACTCAGGACCTCACGCTTGCCAGGCAGGTACTTGTGCCGCTGAGCTACATCCCCGGCCAAGATTTTTCTTGTATCAGCCGTGGTTTCTGAATGGCGTGGCTTGATGGCACAAGTTGAAAATGAGGACTTCATCTGATGCCAGGGGTCCCCGTGTGAGCTGCAATCTCTCTGCAGAGTTGGGGGAGGCCTCCGAAAGGCGGGTGGGGCTCTGGCCTGGGGTGGAGGCAGGCTAGGGAGGCTGGGCAGGGAAGTGTGGAACGTGAGGAGATAGCATCTAGGAGGCCCCAGGGGGTGAGGTTGGGTGGGGTGGGAACAAGCCAGAGTTAAAGGCTTGGGATCCTGTCAGTGGGAGATCTGGCTTGACCGGGCAGGTTGTGGCCTGGATTCTGTGCAAGATGTAATAAGGTTTTGTCTCTTCTGGGCCCTGTCATTTCCTGATTCTACCTGGCTTGTGTCCTTGGTTTGAAACAGTTTCTTCTCTTATCTAAACCTGAGACCTTAAATTAAAAATATAAAGTTTGGCAGATATTTTTTCTGGCACTGGCAATTTCTCATTACTTTTATCATAGTCTGCAAACTCTACCACTCCCCACCCCTGCTCATCTCTCTGACCTGATTCCTGCCTCCCTGCTCATCTCTAGCTCTTGCTTACTCCTCTGCCATCTCCTCCCTTGGTCCCACTGGTTCCCTGTACACGCCAAGGCCTTCACCGCCTTAAGACCTTGCCTGTGTGCCTTCCAGCCTAAATCTTTGACCTGGGTATTTCCCACTTCTTCAGATCTCAGCTCAAGTGTCACTTCTTCAGAGGTACCGCCCCTAACCCCTACATCCCAGCTCACTCAAGCTAGCAGCCTTTAGTCAGTCACCCTTTGTCATCCTCCATAGCAACATTTCACTATCATTCCACTGTTTGGCTTTTTTCAGTCGTACTCAGTAGCCGGGCATGGTGGCGCACGCCTGTAATCCCAGCACTCGGGAAGCTGAGGCAGGAAGATCGTTGTGAGTTCGAGCGAGACCAGCCTGGGCTACAAAGTGAGTTCAAGACCAGCCTGGGCTACAAAGTGAGTTCAAGACCAGCCTGAACTGCACGCACAGCGAGACCCTGTCTTAAAAAGAAAAAAAATGTGTGCCGATGTGGTGAACGAGCGCTCTCCTGGGCCGGGCTTAAGCCACGCCAGGCGAGGGACGGACATTCGTGGTGAAAGGGACCGCTCTTCTGGTTCTGTCCGCGGGCCCCTCTCTTCTCTGCCCCGCCCTAAGGTGGCGCGCGGAAGGCAGGGGTGCGCTCTCCTCGGCCTTGTGGCCTGGGGCTAGGGTCCGGGGTAGCTTGACGTAGTTGGACGCCCCTCGTGCGCCGTCACCAGGCCTGTGCTGCGTGGGTGGATCCTTCCCCACTTGGGGGTCGAGTCGGTCGAGGATGTCCTGACGGTCGTGGGGGGCGCTGTCCTGTCCCCCCAAAGGGCCGATCGCGCGCCCACGTGTGCGCTCTTCGCCCTCTAAGGGGGCAGTGCCCGCGGGCGTGTGAGCGATCGTGGTGGGCCGCTGTGTGTTTGCCCCCTCCCTTTTGAAGGCGGGGTTGGGCCCGTTCTGGGCGCCGCCCAGCGGCGAGCGGGGGAGCCCGACCGGTACTGTGGGTGGCGGGCTCCCGGTCCCGGCCGCCGCCGCGCAAGGTGTTGCCAGACCCTGTGCCTGTTCCGCAGACCCCTCCTGCCTGCTGTGGCGTCTCCCCCGCGGTCTCCCTTCCCTCCCCGACCGGGGAGCGCCGGCTGGGTGCGGCCCGCCCTCCGTGAGAAAGCTGCTCTAGCGATCCGAGAAGAAGGTGTGCTCCCCGAGGTGGCCGCCCTGGCCTGTTCCGTTCTCCTCCGTGCGGTAGCCAACGACGTGCAGCGTTACGGCCGTCGGTCAGTGCCTGACTGGGCGGGAGCTGCCCTCCTTCCCGCCTCGCCGTGGGGAGGAGGGCTCCGCGGGTCTCCGCGGCGGGGGCCGAGCGCCTGCTTTTTTGCCAAAAAAAAAAAAAAAAAAGTCAATCATACTTAGTAGTATCCTAACAGGTCTTATTTGCATATTTCATTTTGTGTTTGTTTTGTCTTTTTTGAGACAGGGTCTCGCTATGCAGTTCAGGCTGGCCTTGAGCTCACTTTGTAGCCCAGGCTCCTCTCGAACTCACAGCGATCCTCCTGCCTCAGCCTCCCCAGTGCTGGGATTACAGGTGTGCACCACCACGCCCAGCTTGCATATTTCATTGTATTGTGCCCCCCACTGGAATGTCAGCTCCTCAAAGGCAGGAATTTTGCCATATTATTTATCTCTTTATGGATGGCACAGCACATGGTGCATAGCAGGGACGTAGCGAATGTTTATTCTGGAATGAGTAAGAGGCTCTCTACAACAGTGTGCTGGATTTTTAGATAAACTGGGTATTGGTTTTAGGACATAGGCATTGGGAGGGGGCGATGTTAGAGTTGGGAAATGAGCCCACCGGGTAGGTGGTGGTTGAGGTGGATTATACACTGGGCTTGGTCCACCAGGTAATCTCAGACTGTTGAGGTTAGACTGGACCCCGATGGGCAGTGGCTGAGATACCTTGGGACCTGAGGAGTGTCCCAACAGGTATGAGGTTACTGAAGGTGAAGAGTCAGGCGCTCCGGCGTCTCCCGTGCTTGTAGCTACGGAGAACCAGAACCCCAGCCCCGGCCACCAAGATCACGAGGGGTTGTAGGAGACAGGCCCTGTTTGGGGCGAAGGAGGACGTCCAAGATCACTAGGGGTTGTAGGAGACAGGCCCTGTTTGGGGCGAAGGAGGAGCGCTGGCTGGGATGGAACGTAACGTGGATGCGGTGTGGGTTGTGAGCGAGGACTCGGCCGGAGCCTGCCAGCCGGGGTTCCGGGCCAAGCCGGGGGCGGTGGGAATCACACCTGAGCAAAGCTTACAAGGGAGCGGCTCGCTTGGGCGGACCTGGACCCAAGAGCCGCGGGCTTCCACATAGCCCCGCCCCTAGACCAATGGCAGCGCGGAGGCTGCTGGAGGCAGGCGTGGATTGGACAGGCTGGTGAGGCGGCGGGCGCGGATTGGGTGCACGCGGGAGGGCGGGGCCGCGCGGCAGGCAGCTTAGGCACTCTGCCGGCGGGCGGCGCTGAGCCCTCGGCTACGAGGGCCAGGCGCTGGCGGAAGTGGCGACGCTGGCGTCCCCGGAGCCTACAGAGGGCGGCAGTGACGGGCCGGGCGCTGACGGCAGCGACCCGGGGGGTGGCGTGGACGCCCACGGCGCGGGCTGGGGCATCACCGCGGGCCTCGACCCCGAAATGGCGCTGCTCGCGGAGCACCTGCTGAAGCCGCTGCCCGCGGACAAGCAGATCGAGACCGGGCCCTTCTTGGAGGCGGTGTCCCACCTGCCGCCCTTCTTCGGTGAGCCGGGTGGGGGTGGGGGTGGAAGCTGGCTTGTTCCCTGATCATCCCCAGAACAGCCCTCTCCTGGACACCCCGAGTCCTATTTCCTACGTCCCGGATCTCCTTTCCTTCCACGCACCCCAAGTTTTCACTACCCCAGGCCAGTCCCAAATTCTCTCTCCCCAAACGTATCCTATCTTCCATCTCCTCCCAGACACCCCAAGTCCTCCATCTCCCCCAGATACTTCACATTCCTCCCTGTCCCTCAGATGCACCCCAGTCTTCCACTCCTTCACGAACCCTCAGTTGCCGATCTCCCTTAAACCCACTCTCGCGTCCCCCCTCCCCGCAGGCGCCAATCCTCTACCCTTCCTCCTAAATGTCCTACCCCTTCTCCTCCCGAATTCTTCCTGGCTCGCCCCATCTTTCCTTCCTTTCTGAATGGTTCTCATCTCCCCAAGGGAAGGGCCTTTAAAATGAATAAATCCTCTCTTCCCGCCTCCAGCCTCTCCCTCATGGGGACCTGTGAACCTATTTCTCTGCATTTCCACCTTCTGGAGCAAAGACCTTCACCGCCACCTCTCCCGAGGGTAGGGAGGGGAATTTTGAAGATGGAGTTAAAAAAGTCTGGGGCCGGTGCCGGGCGTGGTGGCGCATGCCTGTAATCCCAGCACTCGGGAGGCTGAGGCAGGAGGATCGTTGTGAGTTTGAGAGTGAGCTCAAGACCAGCTTGAACTGCATAGCAAGACCCTGTCTCAAAAAAAAGAGAAAAAAAGACATTCCCCTCCTCCAAAAAAAAGGCTAGGGCCCTTTTCTAGGGGAAGTCACCTAAAATTTTTCTGCTGTGTAGGACAGGGGTCAGGGTGAGGGGAGATGTTCTGTGGGGTAATGTTTTACACAAAGTGCTTGGCATGAATCCCTTCCCCATTTTTGGGCATTTGGGCTCATGTTGAAGAGATCATGGAAACACTGGGAAAGTGGACCCTAAGCCAGTTTCAGACGTTCTGCCCTCTCCTCCCCTCCCCCAGCCCAGGTCAGGCCCTGGATGGAAAATGGGAAACAGAAGCCCAGTGCCATCTGCCCCTGCCCTCTTCACCTTCCCTATAGTAAGGGTGCAACCTGAGCCTCTGCTTTCTTCTTGCCAATGGGACTCTGTCAGTGCCCTGCCCTGGCTGTTCACTTGGTGGCCCTGTAGGAAGATACCACCCTCCGGGGCAGAATCCAGCTGACGCCCGCAAACAGACAGAACCTAAGACTGGCTTGGACTGCAGAGATTTGGCTCCCGGAGCAGCCTTTTGCTGTGACCCTAGTGGGTGACTAGAGCTTGTTGAGGGCAGCGGTTCCCACAGGGGTGGTTGTGGCCAGGCTGAGTTGTATCCTAGTTTTCCTTCTCCACCTGTTGGATCTCAGTGTCCCCATCTGTGAAATGAGGATGCCGATCTCACTAGCCAGGAGTAAAGGAGGGTGTGTGTGTGTGTGTGTGTGTGTGTGTGTGCGCGCGCGTGCACGTGTAAAGCACTGGGGCCTGTAAGTGCCAACTGGACGTTAGCTGGGCTTCCGGGAGGGGTTTTATATCTGTAAGTTCCTGGAGGCGGTTTTGTTCCTTCCCAGGGTAGGTGATTAATCGGTGCTGGGTAAGTGCACTTGCCCAGTCTGCGCATCTCAGCCCTGGGTCAGCAACCTGAGAGCAAGCCTCTGTCATTTACATCCACGTCTATGTCCCCAGTGCGTGCAGTGGCGTCCAGCACACAGCAGGTGCTCAGCCAATACTGTCCAGTGTACAAAACTTGCTTTGTACCTCAGCTTGAGGTAATAGTGCACCTCCAGGCCGGGGTTTGGGAGCTAACTTGCTTTAGCTTTGCGGTGTTAATTTGTAACCACGTTACATTATTTGTTTGTTTGTTTCCGCTTTGGTGTTAGGAGTAGGTGCAAGTCAGAGCCAGCTTGCCCTGGACGGGGATTCAGAATCTGTCTAAGCCAATGGGTCTCAACTGAGGGCAGTTTTGTCCCCTAGGGGACGTGTGGCAATGTTTGGAGACATTTTTGTTTGTCAACACAGTGGAGGCTACTGGATGCTCCAGGGTGCGCCAGGGGCGTTGTGAAGCATCCCACAATGCACAGCGCAATCCCCACCACAAAGAATGACCTGGTCCCAAGTGTCAGCAGTGCCGAGGTGGAGGATCCCAGGTTAGGCTCTGTGGCCTTTTTCCCCCTTACCCTCAACAGAGACAGGTGTCAGTTTTGTGCTGGGGGGCACCGGGGGTGGATGCAATGGTGTGGGCGGTTTGGGAGGACAGGGAGAGGTGACAGCTGGAGGCTGGGAAGAAGAGCATCCCTGCCTCCCTTTTGTTGGTATCTAAGGGCCCTTGCTTCTGCTCTGGTCCTGTGCTGTGGGTGTCACAGGTGTGGACAGAAACACCATTGAGCCAGAAGCCTCAGTGGGGTTGGCTCGCGAAGGGTGCCCAGCTCTGCCCACCTGGGCTGTTTACTGTTCCTCAGGAGAGGGAAATTCTTAGTTCCCTTAAAAAATGAAAGTGATAAAACAAAACACAGCAAAAACGAAACAAACAAACAGAAAAAACGAAAGTGATAATCCATTCTGAACCGGTCTGCATTTGAGGAAGAGGCTTCCTCCGGGCGTTTCTCCGGGGCTCTGTGGTAGTTCGGTATCTGCTGTCAGCTCCGTTTCAGGGCCTTTGTATATATTTAGGGAGCATCTGTCTGGTCGCCTGGATGATATGGCAAATGCATATGTTTCTCCAGGGGAGCTGGCCAGGAGCGATGGACACAGGAGTCGGAGAGGCATTGCAGTGACAGTTTCTTCCAAATGAGGATTTTTCCATAGTGACACTGGCGACAGTGGGGGCTGGATCATTCTTGAGGGGCCATCCTGTGCCTTGTAATGTGCTGAGTAGCATCCCAGGTGCCTGCCTGCTAGGTAGCACCCCCTGTCCTAAAGTTGTGACAGCTAAAACTATCTCTGGGGAGGCAAAATCACCCTCAGTGAGAGCTATTGCTTTAGAAATACAGATACAGTAGAAGACTGAAAGCTGTGTGGTTTTTGTGTGTGTGTGTCTTTTTATTTTATTTTTTTGGTCTTTTTGAGACAGGGTCTCACTATGCAGTTCAGGCTGGCCTTGAGCTCACTTTGGAGCCCAGGCTGGTCTCAAACTCAGCAAGGATCCTCTTGTCTCAGCCTCCCTCCTGAGTGCTGGGTTTATAGGCATGCGCCTCCACGCCCGGCTGAAAGCTGTGTTTTAAAAGACGTATTTAATTCCACCAGGGAGATCTATTCATTGAAGGAAAATTGAGTAAAAGTTAATAATGCCTGCTGTTTATTGAGCACTTACTATATGCTGCTTTCCATAATTAGTTCATTAATCCTCTCACATCCTTTTGTTTTTTTGTAACCAGCTGTGTTATTTGTTTGTTTGTTTCCTCTTTGGTGTTAGGAGTATGTGCAAGTACGTTTTTTTGGTTTTTTTTGTTTGTTTTTTGTTTTTCTTCCGGCACCAGGAGTTGAACTCACGACATTGCGCTTGCCAGGCAGGGGCTTTGCCGCTGAGCTAAATCCCCAGCCCCTCTCTCTCACATCCTTTTGAAGTAAGGTTTTTAAGGAAAGACTCTGCTGGATTTGAGAGCATTTTCCTTGTACACGCATGATTATCTAGCAGTATAGCATAACTATCTTTCCGTGTCACTCATCATTGTTCATAGCTGCTTAAGACTGCATTGTTTGAATGTGGTCATAATTTATTTAAACTATCCCCTACTGTTGGACACTCAGGTTGCTTCTTATTTTTCATTCTGGTAAACAGTGCTCTACCAAACATCTTTGTGCATGTTTCTTTGCACAGTTCTTTATATTTTTCATTTTTAGATGTGAGATGACAGGGCATGAAGCCTTTCAACCTGTCGGGGCTGGCCACATTTCTTTAGCCTTTGCGGGGTGTGGTTTGTGACAGAATTGCTTGGGCTTAGTAAATGCTGATTCTTTCTGCCTCACAGCCTGTGGGCTGCGATTCAGCCTCCTGCTCATCTGGTTTAGGCGTCTTCATCTCGGGCTTGCCCTTTCTCCATATCTCTGGCCTGAATCTCTCAAGTCATGCAGGTTTTACTACATCCACTTAGAGGCCAGCCTTTTATCCATCTTTTTTCTCTACTTTGACCTGGTAATCGGATCTTACCTGACTTATCAGTTTGCAAGACTGAGATCTGTGAAGCGTGCTTTCTCATTTTTTTTTTAAGGTCAACTATGCAGCAGTCCTAGAGTATTAACAGTTGGTGAGCAGAAACAGGGAGACTTAGATGTCCTATAGTTTTGACATTCCCTGCCTAGAAGCCTCAGTGGCTCCCTATTACCCTATCCTGAAATCTGTGCTATTGGCTTTCGCAATGGCTTGCGACCCCACAGTGGCACCATGCCATGGTCTTTTTGCCTAGTGAATCACTCTGCTCTCCAGTAGACCCCTTCCTTTTGTCTGCTGGGTTCCACAGCTCCTTAGGGAATTAGGAATTAGTTTATCAGCCGGGCGTGGTGGTGCATGCCTGTAATCCCAGCACTTGGGAGGCTGAGGCAGGAAGATCATTGTGAGTTCGAGACCAGCCTGGGCTATAAAGTGAGCTCAAGGCCAGCCTGGACTGCATAGCGAGACCCTGTCTCAAAAAGACAAAAAAAAGAATTAGCTTATCAGTCACCTCACCTAGAAAGTCTTTTCTGACTCCCTTAGACTTAGAACCTGTCACATTCTGTGACTTTGAGTTATTTCAGTGCCCAGCACTTGGTGAGCTGGAATATTTGCTGAATTCTTTTGGTTCCTTCCTGTTCTGGGTTCTTGCTGAAAATGCTTTGCCTTTCTCTCTTTCCAAATTAAAATAGATGATTTAACTAAAGTATATGACTAAATTGAAATGCATAACCCCTTTCATAGCCTGTTCTCAGCAGACATTATTAATCAATCATGATACCCTTTCCCCTTTTGAGTCTACAGGCAGCCTTGGAGTCTTCTTTTCTTGGT